CCACTGATCTTGACGCCTCTAGTGCCAGGATGACCTCTGATCCTGTACGTAACGGTGTTAGAAGGAACCATGAGATGCGTATTGGGTCAGCATGATGAAACTGGTAGGAAAGACATGCAATCTACTACCTCAGCAAGAAATTCAATGACTGTGAAATGAGTTGTTCAATGCTCGAAAAGATGCGTTGTGCATTAGCTTGGGTTGCAAAGCGCCTAAGGCAATATATGCTAACCCATACAACTCTGCTGACTTCCAAAGTGGATCCCATCAAATAAATATTTGAGAAGCCTACTCTCACCGGACGAGTGGCTCGTTGGCAAATGGTACTGACAGAGTACGACATCCAGTATGTCACACAGAAGACCATCAAAGGAAGTGTGTTATCTAACTATCTTTCCCACCAACCTGTGGAAGATTACCAATCTATGTGCTTCGATTTTTCTGATGAAGATGTCATGTTTGCCAGAGATTATACAATGCACGGCCCAAAAAATGGACCCGAACCAGGATCGTGATGGACACTCGTGTTCGATGGGGCCGCAAATGCTAAAGGTTGTGGAATTGGGGCAATAATTACTTCCCCAACTGGATTTCATCTACCGTTCACTGCTAGATTGTGCTTCAAATGTACTAATAACATGGATGAGTATGAAGCCTATATTTTCAGGATTGAAGTTGCCATTGATAATAGAATCAAGATTTTAGACGTCTATGAAGATTTTGCTCTTGTCATATGCCAAATCAAAGGGGAATACGAAACACTTAATACCAAGTTGATCCCTTACAGAGATCATGTCTTGAAGCTAATCTCATACTTTGATGAGATCACTTTTCACCATATTCCCAGAGCAGACAACCGATTGGCAGATGCTCTAGCAACATTAACATCCATGTTCCAAGTCAAGTGGAAGAATGAGGCACCGGCCATTCGTTTAGAGTACCTTGACGAGCCTGCTTATTGCCTGGCAACTAGAGCTGGTAATGAACCGAACCAACTCGAACATAGTTCGAAATTCGATTTGGTAACTAAATCGTTGAACTTGGTTCATGAACCAAATGAGCTGAATATGAGCAAAAAATTAAGTTTGTTAACTAAATGAGTTGAACTTGAACTATGTATAGTTCGACTCGTTAGGTTTATGAGTCAACTCAATTATTATTATTATTTTGGAATAAAGAAACTTTATATAAGCCAAAAGAGAGAATGTACAAGGGTATAGAGAAAACCCCACCCACAAAACAAACAAAAAACCCCACTAATCTATAAGAAGGTTAGCTATATGATGTCTCAGTTTAGTATTAACCCACCCTCTGTTTGCAAGGGTAGAGATTACTACATCTCTAATCTCAACGGTAGTCACAGTATTTCCAAAAACGGCGTTGTTACGATATTTCCAGATTTTGTAAATAGTCTCCGCAACGGAACTACGTAGAAGGCATTTCCTCCAGCCCTTGCCCTTGCACTGTTGAATAATCCACTTCAATTCTTCATGCCAATCGCAAGGGGTATGTTGAAACCCCATCCAACCCAGAATTTCCTGCCAACGGATTTTAAACGGCGGGCATTGGAAGAACATATGATCAATGGTTTCCTCTTTGTTGCAGAATTTGCATCTATCATCCGTAATAAAACCAAACTTTTTGAGCAGCACCTTCGTTGCAAGTCTCCGGTGGCAAGCCATCCACAGAGTAAAAAGAGCTCTCGGTCTCTCAATAGTATTAGCTACCATGTGTTTCCAAACAACATCAGGTTCATCCTGTTTGAGGTAATGATAGACTTTACATGTAGAGTATTTTATCTGCATATCGCTCCAATCTTCCATGCCCGTCATGATGTCTCTATGTCTTATAATAGTTTTGAAAATCCAAGACATACCATGTTTTTCCTGGACCTGCATGATATTCGTAGATTTGAAATAAAAGGAATGGATCCACTTCACCCACAGGGAGTCTTTCTTATTACATAGGTTCCAAAGCAATCTAGCTAAGCAAGCTTTGTTCCATTCATACAGATCCAAAACATTCAAACCGCCCTTCCGCCGAGGCTTACAGATCGTCTTCCAAGCGATAGGGGATTTTATCGACTTCGACTTGCTGCCTGTCCAAAGAAACGTTTTACAGATCGTATTGATAGCTTTTATCACATGACTGGGGAACGGGAGGCAGTTCATCCAGTAGGCTGCCATAGAAGTGATGGTATTGTTAATCAATTGGATTCTGCCTGCGTAGCTCAGAAGCTTAGAGCTCCAATGACGGATCCGGCAAACAATTCTATCAACTAAACTCATGTAGTGGTGCACGGAAAGTCTTTTGCTGGTGAGGGGGACCCCCGGGTAGCGGAACGGAAGGTCACTTTCATAAAAGAAGTAGAATCCAGAATGTCAGTTTTGGTCGTCGTATCAACCCCCCCAAAATACACCTTACATTTTGCAGGGTTTACAACTAGACCAGTGGACTGGGAGAAAATATGCAATTTGGACATGAGAAGCTTCACAAAATGGGCATCCCCACGGGTGAAGAGGAGGACATCATTGGCAAAGCTGATGTTGATGATTTGCAGCCTCTCACATATAGCATGGAAATTGTAGTCCGGTATCTTTCTTAACTGGTGCAATAACCGGTGGAAATACTCCATAGTTATGACAAATAGGAGAGGGGAGATAGGGTCACCTTGTCGAAGGCCCCTCTTAGCTTCCATACATCTAGTAATGCTTCCACCAACCTTAAATTTATAAGACACAGTTGATACTGCCAGCATAATCCATTTGGTGAATTTTTTAGGGAAACCCAATTCCTTGAGTATGCACTCAAGAGCATTCCAATTCAGTGTGTCATAAGCTTTTGGGATGTCAAGTTGCAGCAGACATCTAGGAGTACTGCCTGTTCTGGTGTAGCCTTGGATTAGCTCATATGCTAACAAAACATGCTCATGGATGTTTTGCCCCGGAATAAAATCCGTCTGACTTTGGTTAATAATTGTGGTAAGGACTATACTCAATCTTCTCGTCAAGATTTTAGATATGATTTTGTAGATGGTGGTACAGCAGGAGATAGGTCTGAAATCCCTCACACACTTTCCACCATTTCCTTTAGGAACCAAAGAAACAAGGGTACAATTTACAGCCGGATACATCCTGAAATTGTTGAAAAATCCATAACGGCGGCAGTGGTATCCTTCTTAATGATACTCCAAAAGGCTTTGAAAAACTTGGCTCCAAAACCATCAATGCCGGGAGCTTTCAAGTCACCAATATCACTGAGGGCATTAATTATTTCAGCTTCAGTGATGGGAGAGTCAAGCATAGATCTCTGATCACCAGTAATGTGTGGCCCATCCTTCATGGCAGTCAAATTGATACCCTCCAAGTCACCATTAGAACTCCCCATGAGGCTTCCATAAAAAGACAGCACCTCCTTCTCAATTTCCTCAGTGGTGCTGAGAATGTCCCCAACCAGATTACACAACTCAGTGGTGTTACTACTGTTATGCCTAGTTTTTACTTGGGCATGAAAAAAATTGTTGTTGCCATCACCCAATCTGAGCCAGTTGATTTTGGATCTTTGGCTAAGAATCTGTTTCTCAATTTCACTCCAATAAACAACCTCAGTAGATCTATTCTTAACAAGATGAATCACATCAGGGTTATTAAGGTTGTCCCTGAGCTGCAATTGAGCTTCAATTAAATTCTGTCTAGCATTCTTTAATATAGAGGTAGCACCAACCAAAGGCTTGCTGAGATTCTTCAAAACAGTTTGGGTTCTATTCAGTTTCCTCCATAACACAAACATAGGACTATCATGGATAGGGGCATTCCAACTTTTGGCAATTTCCTCCTGATACCCCTCCACCTTAGTTACACAGTTCAGGAACTTATATTGTGTTGTTCTATGCACAATAGTCTCAGGCCTAGTAAGCATTAACAGAGCATGGTCAGAGATACCAGGGGTAAGAGCCTTGAGAGACATGTTTATATATTTTTGGAACCACTCTGTGTTGGCCAGCCCATGATCAATTCTAGAGTGGATAATATTTTCACCCTACCGATTGGACCAAGTGTAGTATTCCCCAACAGACTCCACTTCAATTAGGTTACAAATGTTCATCATATTAGTTAGGTCTTGGTACTCTTTCACCTGCACCATTGAACCCCCTCTTCTGTCAACTGTTTAGATTACATTATTAAAGTCACCAATGATAACCACGGACCCTGTTGGTTCTGATGAATATGCCCAATCTCATTCCATAATTCCTTTTGATGGTCCAGCATGTTAGCACCATACACTGTTGTAAGCCAGAATTGGAATACCCCATTCATATCATAGACACCACAGTGAATCATTTGCCTAGAGCTGTTAACTTTCCTTATCTCAGTTTTAGCATTGTTCCACCATATCCAGATTCTACCATTCATATGGTGAGTATAGTTGTCCAAAAAATTACCTTTAAGCCTTAACTTACATCTAATTTTGTCAGCCTTTTTCCTGCTTCGCTCTAGTTTCAAGCAAAATGCAGATCATAGGGTTAAGAGAACGGAGGCGGAAGCTAACCTCTTTAGTCTTAACCATCTTATTCAGGCCCCTCACATTCCAAGAAATTAACATTGGATGGTATTCAGGCTGCTAACAGGATCATTTAAAATCCCCAACATCCCAAATCCATTGTGGCAGTTGATAGTTTCCTCTTCATTGGTAGGCCCATTCCTTTTTCCTTTGCTGTTTCTAGTTATCCTCGTCCATATCTCATTCTCAGGCTGTTGGATCCCTTCATCAATTGTCACTTTTCTTGGTGTTGCACTTGTAATAACCTTGTTTTGCTCATTCTCCTTTTGTGGCTGCACTTGGACCTTCACCCTTCATTCTTTAGCAGGTTGTGCAGGTCAGTTACAGTTATGTCCCACCTTATGGCACCGTTGGCAATATGATGGTTTCCACTCATACTCAATCAGTTATTTCAGTCGCACCCATTTTTCATCTCTGATTAGAATTTCTGTTTTGAGCTCTTAGGTAATATCAACTTCAACCAGAATTCGTGCATAGGAGACCCTAAGTTTGTTTGTCGTGCATTCATCAGTTACCAGCGGAGTTCCAATCGCACTTCCTATTTTACTAAGGCTCTGTGCCCCCCAGAGGTGGAGGGGAAGTTGGGGTAGTTTCACCCATAGCGGTATTGTTCTAAGCATATCCTTGTTCATACTAAAATCAGGTTTCCATTCACGCAGCATCATAGGTCGATTACGGATTGAGTATGGCCCCTTCATCAGAACTAAGTCTTTGTATTGGAATGAGTGGAATCTAAGGATGAAGAAACCTTCCTCATTACAAAACATATCAGGTAGCTTAACAAAGTTCCAGGTTTTGCTCATAAACTGTTTCACTGCGTTCATGCTTAGATCTACACCCAAGACGTACATGATAAGAGCGGATTCCCAGAATTTCACTTCCTTCTCAACATCCTCTTCTTCAATTTGAATTTCCATTTCTCCATCAACAATCTTTGGTGCAACAAATTCCATGGTGAGTCCCTTTGCCGGATTGCGATTTTCATTGATAATGTCAACCCAGAGTTCCTTCATTTGGCTAGCTTCTGCACCGCTGTTAGCTTCTTCAGAAAACAAGGGATTTAGGGTTTCTGTATCAGTTGCCCTTTTTTCCTCCCCCACCTGGCTACCACAGTCCACCATTTCAGTTTGTGTTTTGTCTTCTACATCGTTTTCCTCCTCCATAGTATGTTGGTCAGTCACCGTAGGAATGGGTGTTGACGGTGGCACCAATCGTAGCCGCCCGCGTCCTCTCCCTTTCCCACGAGCCATTTAATATTTAATTTGAATAAAATTCATTGGTTCCAACTCGATTATTATTATTATTATTATTATTATTATTATTATTATTATTATTATATATATATATATATATATATAATATCATTTAAAAAAATTAATGCATAGATTTTAACCTTTTAACTTATCAAATTAAATATTTAAAAAAATACTTCTAACTTTTTTTTACCCAAAAAAATTCTTCTAACTTATAAAAAGAAACATATACACGTGACTTTTAAAGCTCTTAAAAATAACATTTTTTAAATATTATAGCATTTACCATATCTTTTAATTTATATCCTTTTGTATTTTTTTTTTTACATTATTATTATTATCTACTATTTTTAAAATTTTAAATAAGCACATTTATTAGGATTGCATTTATCAAAAACAAAACCTTTAATCTCCTTTTTAGGTTTTAGAGAATTTCATTCATCTTACGTTCTCTTCAGGGTTTGTTCTCTATTATTTTAAAAAAAAAACTTTTAGTCTCTTTTCTAGGTTCCATTCAAAGTAATACCCTTCTACTTTGTTTCAAATATCATCAAATTTTCATCTCTACATTATATGTCATCCAGATTCAACAATATTTGTCAATAGAGGTAAATATTATTTCCTTATTATCATTTGATTGTTTTAGTAGCTTTGTCATTTTTTTATTGTGTTCTGAATATTTTCTTCCTAGAATAAACTATAACTCTATTATAAGAATTTTATTTTTTTACTTTGTTATGTATTTGTTCTTCCTGAATCAGTTCTTCTTGGAATGGACTAAATAGATAACTCTGTTATGAAGATTTTTTTTATTGTGATCTGTTTGAAAATTTTAATGATTTTTTAATGGAACTTGTAACTTTATTTGTTTTTCTATTATAGAGATGTCATATAGTACCTCACTTGAATCATTGGGAGGTTCACCACCAGAAGTTGGAGAAGAATGCTTAAATGTATTGAATCCTATCATTGATTTAGATGCAAATACAAATGAAGAACCACTAACAAATGAATCAACACCAGCAAATGAAGTTGTGAATGAAAAAAATGTTGAGAGCAGTGACATTGTTATTCAAAAGTCCAAGAGGAAGAAAACTTCACTAGTTTGGGATCACTTCAAAAAAGTGGAATTCAAGAATGGAAAAAAATGGAAATGTATACACTGTAAAAAGAATTATGTTGTTGCTTCTAGTGAATCAACCAGTCATTTGATGAGGCATTTAAAAGAAATATGTCATGTTTACAAGAAGCTAGTAGCACAACCAAAAAAATTAAACTTTCAGCCTGCAAAAAGCATGATTGATGAGAAGCTTTCTGGACCACTACTTATGAATTCAGGGGCTAAATATGACCATGAAAGACAACGTGAAGCCACTGCACATTGGATTATGATGCACAAACATGCATTTAGTATTGTTGAGGAAGAAGGTTTTCTTTTTATGATGAAATGTTCTAATATTTCATATGAGAAAATTAGTCGGAAAACATTGAAGAATGATTGTATTACTGTTTATGAACCTGAAAGAAAAAAGTTGAAGTCTACTTTGAGGATATTAAATAAGATTTGCTTGACCACATATTTATGGAAGTCACAAAATCAGAAGATAGAATACATGGTGTTAACTGGCCATTTCATAGATGATGATTGGGTTTTGCAGAAACGCATTCTTAGTTTTGTTCATGTTCCTCCTCCTCGGCGTGATGGTGATATTGTTGATGCAATCTTCAAATGTCTTAAAGATTGGGGCATTGAAAATAAAATATTTAGCGTGTCAGTGGATAATGCTCACTACAATGATAAATGTTTGAAAGAATTAAAAGATTTTATTTTAAGGCACCGGAAATTAGTGCTAGATGGAAAGTTATTTCATGTGCGTTATTGTGCGCATATACCAAACTTGCTTGTTCAAGATGGTATTGGGAAAATAGCAAAAATAGTTGAAAACGTGCGTGAAAGTGTGAAGTTCATCAATTAGTCTGAAGCAAGGTTGCAAACATTCTCACAAATAGTTCAACAACTAAAGCTTGGTGGTAAAAAATTAATTCTTGATTGCCCTACTCGTTGGAACTCCACCTATCAAATCTTGTCAATTGCAATGCAGTTCAAAGAAGTCTTCCCTCGGTTTCAAGATCGAGAACCAAGCTATAAAACTCTTCCAGATGATGATGATTGGGAAAAGGTTGAAAAAGTTTGCAAGTTGCTAGAGGTATTTAATGTTGTTACAAATATTATTTCTAGCAGTGAATATCCAACTGCTAACTTATATCTTGCTGAGGTGTTTCGAACCAATCTAGTTTTAGATCATGGTATCCAAGATGAATATGATTTTATGAAAGAAATGACAAAAGCTGTGAAGGAAAAATTTGATAAATATTGGAGTCAATGATCTTGTCATGTCGCTTGCTTCTATTTTGGACCCTAGGATCAAAATAATGGGTGTTGACATGTGTTTTCCCTTAATTTATGCGGAAGATGAAGTAAGAAAAAATATAGAAAATGTGTGTATTGCTCTTGATGATATGTACAAAGAGTATGTTGATCTACTCAGTGAGCATGGTGAAGAAGGATCTAGTAGGGGTGGACGGCAGTCGGTTATGGGTGGGTTCGGGTTCAAAATAGTTAACCCGAACTAATCCACGGTTGAAAAAGTTAAACCCAATTTCACCCGAGACTAAGTTCGGTTTTATCGGTTGGCGGATTATCGATTTAAACGATTTATTCTGTTGGGTTGAATTGGTTTGTCAAAACAAATACAAACAAGTTTTTAGCATGAAAAACCAAATTTTGACAGCAATAGATAGCGAAATGCAGTACTATACTATGCAGTACTTCAAAACATTTACAGTACTATTCATACATACCACTTTTACTCATTTAACTACCCCTACTTACAATTCCGGTAGCGAAATGCGGTGTGAATAGAGAACATAATGGAAACTTCAAAGCCATTTTTAGGTAGGAATGTGTAAGCAAGCTGACAATATATAACGAAAATCCTGCCATGGATATGAAATATGTAGTTTTAACTAACAATATTGAACAGACACTCAGTAACTTTGCAATCAAATGGAAAATGAATACATTCAGCTTAATCTAAGATCAATAATAGCTAACTAAGACTAGTCAGTCATCAATTCCTTTTTACATGATTGCCTTCTCTGGTTGCTGATGCAGATGTTTTGCGAAATAAAAGATTAAGTTGATCAAGGAAAAACAAACTCTTCACTTGCTCCAATTGTTGGCATTCTTTTTCCATTAGCAGGTTTAAATCTTCAAAATTCATAAGCTTGTCCTAGATATTTTTCATCTATACAGCGCAACATCCAATGCATTAGCAAGGATTATCAAACAAATAAGTAAAAACCTCTTCAAACAAAATGATAGCTCACTAATATATGACAGACCTGAACTTCTACAATCTCAGAAATTGCTTTTTCTACATTTGACTCTTCCTTCTCACACTCTAAATTCTCCCGTAGTAAAGATCCTTGGATATAATTTGAAGCATTAACGCCATTTGATGCAACACCAGCATCTGCAAGAAACATACAAACACCATTTTTACCGAGAAAATTGAGTTTAAAAATTTCAGAAAACCGCTCCAATTAGTACATTGTATAAAATTCCAACAACATAGAAAATTCCTACAGCAAATTTTTTCAAGATTACCTTGGTGAGATGTGGATAATCCAGCCTGCCTCCAACTTCTGAAAGTTTTTCACCAATATCCTGCCAAAAAAATTAAGCTCTTCATGAATTAAGAAAACTTTGACAAAGCGAGATAGATCCTTTCAGATTAAGCACAAAAACACAGTAACGACATACAAGAACATAAACTACTCAACCATTATTAACAAACCATAAGTAAGAGATAAAGGAGGCTTAGTAGTGGAGTACCTTTCTCTCATCGGATATAACATACTTTGCAGAATTAAGGTCGTTTTGAGCCAACTCCTTTGCCCCATCATGCAGAACCTATTTAAACACATCAAGTAAAAACTAAGGATAACCGTTTTTCAACTAGTTCCATCACTATTACTCAACTCATGCAGAACCTATTTAAACACATCAAGTAAAAACTAATATCACTACAGGTCTTAGCTGGCTAAGCAGGCTAAGCATAATTCTAACAGAAACAACAACTTCTGCATAATTCTAACAGCATTAAGGCAATTATAGTTCTGCATAATTCAAGTTAACTTCTTGATGAGTTCTATTTTTCTGTGTAACTTCTATTTTCTGTTTAAGTATGTAATTGTGCTCCTCTCTGATTTGAGGAATTCCGTGGCACACACACGATTTCAAAATTTTATTTCTTCAATATGCTCATTTGCTATAGAATATGACTCAGTTCCCCCTGTTTCTGATTAATCCTAATTCCCTTAGATGCATCATACATGGAATAGACCATTCTATGATACTGTCAAGCTTCTTTATGTTTGTCTTAACATCTGTTAATCTTGTGTGCTTATGGTATTTAATGGTATTCCTTCAGTTTATTCCTGCTGTCTGTGTTTATCATTGATAGTATAATTGAGCATGGAACAATACTCACGAATAAACTTTTATTGTCTGTGACTAAATTGTTTTCTTTTACTTCCCATTGATTAATAAAATTCGTTGTAATCTACTTGTCGAGCAGTGGACATTCTAAACCAGAAGAGGATAACATCTTTGCACGGGCACAACAGCATATAGCCATGCAGGTGAGGCACAAACTTTTACCTTCTGTTTTTCTACTTGTTTGCCACTTATTATTTATTATTACTCTTGACTATTTACATCCATCAACTAACAGAAAATAGCTTTGGAAGTGGTTGGGCTAAATATTCCAGGAGTCGAAAGAGGCCCAACAAACGAAGAAAGCCCCACTAAAGTTGTATGTTTAACCCAGGTAATTCTAGTTTCTATAACATGCAAAATTTTGTCAGACGAAAATACTCCTTGTAGAGTTTTGACAGCTTGATTTGCTTTTTATTTATTTATTAGCATGCAA